GAGTGAGCTAACAGGCCAGCCCCTCTCTAATAATTTTATTCCCAAGGCTGCTCTCCCAGCAGATCCAGAGATCCTTGTTTCCCCATTCGAGAAGTCTCTAAGCATGAGGATTTATTTATAGTTGTATAACTGCCAACACTGGGAAACTGAGATTTCCCTTTTTTGTCTCCATTGTGGTGAGAATTGCTGATCTGATATCTTCACCCAACTCAAGAGGAAGTGAACGGCCTGTCCTGCCCATGGGGCCCCAAGTCATCTCCTCCGCTCTTGGGACCTTGGTCCAGATCCCCCTGAGTTCAGCCACATGGCGCACAGCTGACATGNAAACATGACCTTTTAAAATACTGTATAATAAAATGTGTCAACATGGGGAAGATTTGCATGATCCAGTGAACCAGTATTTTCCAAATGACCAATGCATGATGAACAAAGCCATGCCTGGACAAAGGATCCATTTGAGGTGCAGGATCCACCAATCAATCTTAATCCACAGTGTGAAAAGTTGGTTGATATGGTTCAGATTCTTTGAGAAACACCCACTTGTCAAATTTTGGTGCATTGTCAAAGAATATCCGCAATATCTGAATAGGCTGTTGAATTACTCCTCCCTTTCCCAAAAACATCTGCAAGGCCAGATTTCTTCAACCAGGACAGCTTAGCACAACAGATTGAATGTGAAAACAGATATAAGACCAGCTGTCTTCTGTTAGCCAGGCATTAAAAATATTTGTAAAAATGCAAAACAACACTCACCAATTTTTTTGTTTTGAAAAGTGCAGTAATTTCTCATAATATGTAATTATGTTAATATTACTGCTCCTATTATTCTTCTAAAATGAATTACAAAATAAATATTTTTTAAATTTCTCCATTTTAATTTCTGGTACAGTATATGTCAGTAGATATAACCCACATAAACCAAAGCTCTTTAAGATCCTCAAAACATTTTCAGAGTGTGAACGGTTTCCAAGATGGGAAAGTCTGAGCTCTGCTCCACGACAAGCTCAGGCCAGGGGCGGACGCCGGCCGAGGAGGCCAGGGTTTACCTGCCCTGTGCTGTTTGCAGGAAGGTAGGTTTGATTCTGTGCAGCGCCACATCTTTGTGACGGGACCTCCGGCCTTCCCTCACTTCTCTGGGCCTCTGTGTCACCTGTAGAAGTGGAGATAATGATGCTCAGTAGCTCGTTGTGGCTGAGAGAAGTTCGCTGACCTGAGAAACATCTGGTAGTGCAATCAGGAGGTCCTGATGATGCACGAGGGCACTTCAAAAAGTTCATGAAAAGATCCATATTATCTTTTAATTCTATTTTTCCATGAACTTTTTGTAGTACCCTGGCATTATGAAGAAGAGAGTAAAGAGTTGATTTTCTTTGGTTTACCACAGAGAAAGAGGCTAATAATTTTTTTTTTTTTTTTTTGGCAGCTGGCCAGTATGGGGATCTGAACCCTTGACCTTGGCATTATCAGCACCATGCTCTGTCGAGTGAGCTAACAGGCCAGCCCCTCTCTAATAATTTTATTCCCAAGGCTGCTCTCCCAGCA